CATGGTGGATTAGGGGCTTTGTATTCTTTTCCATGATTATCTTTATAGCCTCAAGTATTTTAAGTCCAAAGGATCAGGAGATAGCTAGGGAAAGGGGAAGGAATCAAACTTCTTCCCTTTCTATAGTCATCCCTGATACTGTCCATTGAAATAAAGAGAATTGGGTTATTAAAATCTTATAGAATTTGGGAGTGGGTAGGATAGGGAGTTTTGCTCTATGGGTGTAAGAAATTTAGGAAAAGAAAATTGTAATTTTGTTTTCCTAAATCAAATTGTAATAGAAATCAGTGTTTAAAAAGAATTGGAGGATTACTAAAAGACATTTCTTATTTAATATGGGCTTTTACAAAACTCTAGTGACATACCACAGTATTTCAGATGATACACTCGTGTTCACCAACACATGACAATAACTATTATTGAAAGCACATTCTCAAACACTATTCAAAACTGTGGATGCTGTACTAGAATGAAATATGCTGTTGTGTGGCCCCTCTGCCCCCCCCCCGAAATTGGGTGAGATGGCTGTGCTCTTGCCTGCAAAAATCACATGAGAACAGGGTGTACTTTTGCATAGTTGTAGCTGCAGAAGAGCATTGGAGAATGCTGCTTCCAGAATGAAAGCCTCATGCAACCCAGAGCAGCCACGGGTAGGCTGCAGTGGCCTATCTGCAAAGTCAAGTTAGGCATTTTCCTAGTTATTGACAGGCTGAACCCAGGAGGTTCACCTTCACTACTGTAAGCCCACTCTAAGTTACCACCATATCTAATGCTTCAGACAATGAACTAGCCAAAGATGAATATGTGTGTAGAGAATCAATGGTGAAAAAAGTAAGGTTCTACATTTAGGCAAGAAAAACCAAATGTACAGGTATAGTATAGGGGGTACCTTGCTCAATAGTAGTAACTGTGAGAGGGACCTCGGAGTCCTAGTGGACAATCACTTAAATATGAGCCAGCAGTGTGCTGCAGCTGCCAAAAAAGCCAACACAGTGCTAGGCTGCATTAACAGAGGGATAGAATCAAGATCACGTGAAGTATTAATACCATTTTACAATGCCTTGGTAAGGCCACACTTGGAATACTGCATCCAGTTTTGGTCACCACGATGTAAAAAAG